TGAATTCAGATGAAAGTTGCAATCATAGAGAAAGAAAAAAACCCAGTGTTTCTTTTTAAAAAATACCAAGTTATTGCAGTGTGCTTGAATTGAATATGGCTCTTTTAACTGTTGGGGGCTGTTTTGATGCACCTTAAAATCTGAAGATGTTAACTTAAGGCTACGCTTAAATTCAGATTTATTTCAGATTCAGATGAAGGTAGCAATCATGGAGGAGGAAGAATCATTGAAAAGTGCTAATTGAATGCGGCTGTTTTAATCTTTAGCAGGCTGTTCTGTGCACCTTAAAAACTGAAGGTTTTAACTTGAGCCTCAATTTAAATCCCAATTGATTTCAGTTTGAATTCAGATAAAAATGGCAATCAGGGAGGAAGATGGAAACCCAGTTTTTTAAAGAACAAAGTGAGTTATTGAAAGGCGCTTTAATTGAATGCGGCTGTTTTAATCTTTAGCGGGCTGTTCTGTGCACCTTAAAAACTGAAGGTTTTAACTTGAGCCTAAATTTAAATTCCAATTGATTTCAGTTTGAATTCAGATAAAAATGGCAATCAGGGAGGAAGATGGAAACCCAGTTTTTTAAAGAACAAAGTGAGTTATTGAAAGGCGCTTGAATTGAATGCAGCTGTTTTAATTTTTAGCAGCTCTTTCAATGCACCTTAAAATCTTAACATTTTACCTTAAGGCTACCCTTAAATTCTGATTTATTTCCAGCCCAAATGAAGGTTGTAATCTTCAAAGAAGGAAATTCAGTTTTAAAAAGAATTGGGTTATTGGCAGGTGATTGAATTGAATGGGTGTTTCCCCCGTTGTTCCCAGAACAATAATCTTTGCTGACTATTTCTAGATTTACACATTGGGAGAAACTACAAAGAATTGGCTTAAAAAATCATCCTGCTTGGGAATAGATTGTTTCATTCAGGTTGATGAATTTAGGAGCTGGTGATCGGCCTCACTTGAATTATAGTAGTAAGAATAAATAACTTGGCTTCACTTAGTTATGGGACACACTGGGATGTTATATTTTGCCTCGGATTCATTGAGATGCCTCGATTTGCCGAAAAACCAACGAAAACCAAATAAACCCACTTTAGCTTCCTGGCTGAGATCGTTTCAAATCCAGTTTAGGTGAAGGTAAAGGTTCCCCTCGCACTTACGTGCTAGTCGTTCCCGCCTCTAGGGGGCGGTGCTCATCTCCGTTTCAAAGCCGAAGAGCCAGCGCTGTCCCAAGACGTCTCCGGGGTCATGTGGCCGGCATGACTCAACGCCGAAGGCGCACGGGACGTTATTCCCTTCCACCCCCCAAAGGTGGTTCCTATTTTTCTACTTGCATTTTTTTTTACCTGCTTTCGAACTGCTAGGATGGCAGAAGCCGGGACAAGTAACAGGAGCTCACTCCGTTACGCGGCGCTGGGGATTTGAACAGTTGTACTGCTGGCCTTTCTGATCGACAAGCTCGGGTGTTTTGGCCACTGGGCCACCAGGTCACCTTCAAATCCAGTTTAGCTTCTTGCAATTCTGGAAGGTTGCNACAGCCCCCACCATCACGACCCCTCCGACTCGTCTTCTCATCAAAGCTCATGCGCTAACCGCTCCCCCCCCAAAGCGCACGTCCTGTGTTGCGCAGTGCTTACCGCTGTGGCTGTGGTGAGAGCCGGAATGTCTTCCGTACATGCTACGGAGGTGGGCTGGGAAGGACCTCTGGACACGGAAGATAACGTTCGCGTGTCTAGGCCGGGGTCCATGCCGAAGGTGGGAGCCCCGATCCCGTGGTGTCCGTTCAGTTCATTGGCTTTGTCCGGTAAAACGCCCAAGAAAGTGCCGTTGTGCGCGCGGTAGGTATTCACCAGCCTTGCCGCCTGCAGGTCGCTCTCATCCAAATCCAGCTTCGGGAAGGAGAGAGACTTGATGTTGCTGACCAACGTCACGGGAGGGAGGGACGCTTTGGAAGAGGGGGGCACCTTCTCGCACCCGCCCAGCTGGGGCAAGGCCACGAGACCGTTGGGTTTGTGGAGGGGCTTGAGGTCCAAAGCCGCCCTTTCCAAAGAGGCCAGGACCTCCTGGTCTTGCAGGACCGACGGAGGCGCCACTTTGGGCAAGCCGCCGTCGAGCAGTTGGGCCATGAATGGCCCCGTGGCGTCAACGTGGATCTGGAGGATGTTCTTCAGTTCCTCCCTGTCGTCCAGGGTCTTCAACTCCAAATTGTCGAAGGGGTCTTCTTCGCACTCGAAGTCCGCCGGGTTGAAGTCGGCCTTGGTGTGTGTGGGGCTCAAGACTTTTTGCTTCAGAGCGTTGCTGTTGGCCGGGGTGGGAGTGAGGATGGAGTTGTGATGCAGGCCGGCCAGGATGGGGTTGATGGGGAGAGGCAGGGCAGCCCCCAGGCGGAAACCCTTGGGCAGGTCTTCCTCCGAGGCCCCCTTCACATTGGCCAGGGTCTCCCTGGCTTTCTGCTCCATTTCCTGCTGGACAGCTTGGATCCTTTTAATGTTCTCGGCCCACTCGATCGTCTTCCTTTCAAGAGAGAAGTCATACTGAGGAGAGGGAGAGAAGGAAAGCATCGTAAGAGACCGGAGAATCAAGGAAAGAGACGATTTTGTACTTGGAGTACAACTGTGGGGGTCCTTGGGGGTCCCTACGATTGGTGGTTTTTCTTGCAGGTATTTCAAGACCCAGTTAGGTAACATCGTCAGTGCTAGAAGGGAGGGAGGCTTGCAGAATGGAGGAGTGGTGGTGGAGAGGGAGGTGGAGGAGGAAGATGAAGAAAATAAGAGAGGGAGCAGGAGGAGGAAAAGAAGAGGGGGAGTGGAGCAGAGGTTGCATATCTCAGCGCTACCAGTTCATTTGTGCTTGCTTGCGTGAGTGCACACGACGCTTCTGTGTGGATAGAGCCTCCTGCCACCACCACTACTTGCTTGCTTGAACCAGGAGCAACCCACCTCTGGGGAGGAGGAAAAGGAGAGAGAGATGGAGGAGGAGGAGGAAAAATAGAGAGAGGGAAAGAGGAGGAAAAGGAGAGGGGGAGAAAAAGGAGAGAGGAAGGAGGATGAGGACAATGAGCATGGGGTCCTTGATGCTCTCCAAACTTGTTTTCTTGCAGACATTTCATTACCAAACTAGATAACATCATCAGTGCTAGAAGGAAATGGGATTTGCTCTCATTTTTACCCCCCTCCATTCTAGCACTGATGACATTACGCAAGTGGATTGTGAAATGTCTGCAACAAAACAACCAGGCTCAGAGAACACCGGGGACCCCATCAACTGAAGTACTCCAAGAACTAAAATACAGGTGAAACTCAAAAAATTGGAATATCATGCAAAAGTTCATTTATTTCAGTAATGCAACTTAAAAGGTGAAACTAATATATGAGATAGATTCATTACATTCAAAGCAAGATAGTTTAAGCCGTGATTTGTCATAATTGTGATGATCATGGCTTACAGATCATGAAAACCCCAAATCCAC